TCGGGACTCCACACTACCGTTTCTTCAGCAGGGCTCGGGGCTGCCTCGCCTGGGCCCTTGTCACCTGGGGCGCCCGTGCCTCCCACCTCGGCCTCCCCCATGCCCGCCGGCAAGCAACGAGCGCCCGGCGAGAGGAGGCTTGCTAGAGGCTCGCGCAGGCGCACTCGATGTCGCGGGCGCGCACTCGCCGGGCTCGGAAACGCCGGGCACCCGCGTCCGCGCAGGCGCAACAGAGGCTGGCTTCCGGTGCCGGCTGCGCCCTCTGGTGTCCAATCCTTTCCCTGCCTTTGACTCTATCTAGAGAGGGAGTTGGCACCAACTGGGCGTGGTGGCACAGACCCTTAATCCTAGCACTCGGGCGGCAGAGACAGGAGGGTCTCTGAGAGTTCCAAGCCAGCCAGATCTGCATAGTGTGATACACACGCCCCAAAGTTAAATATGTTAAAAGATTAAAAAGATCCCGCTTCACCTGAGATGATGGCTTGGAAAAGAACTCAGGTTGCATAGCCAGAAGAAACAGGTGCCAAAAGTGACAGGCTGTGTCCCCCTGCCAGTGATAAATTATACAGTATGCAAATTACCTATAAATTAAACCGTTCAAAGAAACCCCCCCCCCAAAAAAACAAAAAACAAGTTAGAGGCTAGTGAGATGATGGCTCATTCACTGGGCTAATATCTGGAGCTCCATCCCTGGATCCTGGAGGGTCAGAAGAGAACCAGTTCCCAAGAACTGTACACTAACCTCTATATCTATACCATGATCTGTGCACACTTGCACACACACCCACACACCCACCCACACCAAAAATAAACAAAAATAAAAGCCCAACAACCAAACCTTGTAGAAGTGAGGTTCTGCTCATCTTTGAGAGGCCCTGGCCTGGGTGCGCACAACAACCCAGGAGTTCAGAGCTTCCTTGGCATTGGAAGACAGAAATCTGGGTCCTGCCAGCCTTGCTATCTACTTTTGCAGAGATGAGTTGGTTGATTCATTCAGACTGTCAGATTTCAGTCAGGCATTAGCTGCTGGTCTGGACACAGCTCTACACAGGATTGGCTGGGGCCAAGTGCTGGACCGAGCAGCCTTAAGAATGTGGTCCCTCCTTGAGGTCTGAGTTCCCCCAGTCAGCTATACATGGGTCCTCCCTGACACCCATAGGGTGTCACTCATCCCTCAGCTATACCCTCCGCATTCAGACTTCAGGCTGCCGCCTCTCAGCTGTGTGAGTGAGACACGGAGACCCTTTGTAAGAGCCAGGAGCCACTGTATTCCTGGACTCTCGGTACTGATAAGAATCGTCTCCTGGGTGCCACTGGCCTTGGAATCCAGTCCTGGCCCTGTACCTGCCCTTCATTGAAGCCTGAAACTAGACAATGCTCACAACAGTGAGCAGGGTACCATGGAAGGGGCAGGCTCTGACCAGCCTCATTGTCTGGTACAGCTCAAGACTCAGAGCCAAGCAGCAGTCTGTTGCCAGGTCTCAGCTTCCCCACTGTGGAAGTGTGGCTGGGAGAAGAGCCCCCACAATGTTGTGGGGGAATATGGCCCAATGAAACCTTGTTAGGGGCCTGGGGTCACTGCAACCATGTGGAGCTATAATGCACCTAAGAGTTTAAGAGCACACAGAGCCTGAGCCCTTGCCTCTGTCTGTCTGGAATGCAGAATTTAACTTAATTATTTTAAGGTTTGGGTGAAGCATAATTACCACTTGTGGCCCGCCTTAAAACAGGTCCCCAGGCTGAGACGCCCCTCACATTAAATGCCCAGGAGCAGGTGTTCAGAATAACATCCTGGTTATTCTCTGAATGCCTGGGGCATGGGGGACCCTGCTGCTGACTGCTTCTGGCTGTGATTCACCATAGTCTCTCTCCTCCCAGGTAGGATCCTCTTTCAATCTGGAGTGCCTCCTTCCACAGGGAGCTTCCTTTGTGTAACCCTCAGCCTCCTCTATCCTAGCTGGTCCTTCGTTCTGTGTGGCCCATATCTACCACTGTGCTCAGACCATAGCCTACTAGACATGGCATCTGCAAACACTTGACTGTCATCCAGCCATACCCTGGAATGTGTGGCTGGCAATCAGACTCGATGCCTGTGGACAGGGTGGATGTTGTAGAGGAGAAGAATTTCTTCCTTCTTTTCTTCTGTGAAGCCGCAGTAGGTCTCTGCAGAACAGACTCCATACCAGGTAACAGGAAGAAGCTGAGTACTGAGGTCAGCAGTTAGGACTCTGCCTACTGTCTCATGAGCCATCTGGCTTCCTATTTTCATGAACAGAAGAGACAGCTGGAGCCAGACACATGTAGGACTTGTAACCAATCCCACAAATTTAAGAGGAAGCCCTACTTGTTCACTTTATAGCTCTCCTGTGCTTTCTAACAAGAAGCAGGAGAGAAACTTCTAGCCCTTGACCATGTGTGCGCGCCTGCAGCCTGGGTTCCTGGGCGTCAAGTGAGTCATCCCAATACAGTAAGTAGCTTCAAAGTGAACTCATACCTGTGGGGAGCTGAGAGGCTCCTCCAAGTCTGTTAGACGAGTCCCTTTGGGCTGAAGCAGGTGTCTGGGTTGCACTTCACCCACTGTGGAAATCCCTGGTGTGCTTTGCTTGCGTTTTTCTTCTCTGTGAGGTCATCACTCACTTCCAGAGGGCCAGGACTGTGACTGGCTTTGTAGCATGGCTCCCTACATCTCAGATGGGGTTAGCATATAAAGTGGACAGTGATATCTGCTGCTGGGGTCCCTAGCCAACTGGTCAGCCTTTCATCACTTGTTGAGGTCCCTGCTGCTCAAGGTGGATATGAGCGCTGGGATTCTTGATCCCAGGGGTGGAGGGTTCAGACTGGGCCCGGATGAGCAATAAAGTCCCTAAGAAGGCTCTCCCTTCTTTAATGAGTATGCCAGCCTTACAGTTTGTACGCCAGTCTTGTATAAGCTTGACCAGTGTGGACTATTCCCCAGACTACCTTTGGGTTTCAACCAAGGATCATCTCTTTCTATTTATTCATTTATTCAAGTTCTTACGTATCCCAGACTGACCTTGAACTCACTGAATGGCCAGAGATTGCCATGCACTTGGATCCTCATTCTTCTACCTCCTGAGTGGAGGCTAACAGGTATGTGCTGATATATATGTTGGGGACCGAGTTCGGGGCTTCATGCGATCAACAGATGTCATCTCCCACCAAATGACATTTCTGGTCTGAGGATCCGATGGTGGTGGTCATTGTTAACAAGAAGGAGCCTGTCCCCACCCCCAAAGGAACATTTAGCTCTTGGGCACAACAACTGGATCCAGTGGGAGGAATATTTGTAAAAGCTCGGGTCAGATGAGACCTTTTGTCCACCTGCCTTTGGCCACCTTATCTCTCTGCAGACTGCATCTCTGCAGTAGTGAAATTTCCCACAGCATGGCTGGCCCATTCTGCTCCCTTGCAGAACTCTGGAGACTCAGGACTCTGGAGGACAGTTCTGCGTTGGAGTCAATCTACCTGTGGATGCTCTTCACATGTGTTCATCTGATGACCACTGGCTGTTCTCTCTGGGTCTCGCCTGAACCTATGCACACTGAGAACAGCAGTGCTGTTTTCTGCAAGCTGTGGAGCATTGGAAGCAGGGAGCCTAGAGCTAAGCGGCCGTCAGATAGGACCTGGAGTTTCAGTTCAGTCCCAGTCCTTTCCTATGGGGACTGCAGCCAGGAGAGGAACCTATGGGCTGATGAGTACAGCTTAGCTCCGTCTCCGCCACCTTCCTGTTCATGGTAAGATGGTCTAGTTAAGGACCTATGTGATTTTTTCCCATTCTTCTCAAAGCTGTTTGCAGTCTTTGAAAGTCATGGCTTCCCTGGACCTACAAAGGCTATCAGGCGAGGGCCTGCTGCAGTCAGGCTGCTGAGTCCTGCCTGTAGGGGGCGCTGTCCACCAACTCTTTGGATGCAAAACCTCCTTTCTAGCTCTGAAATCTGCCAGCAGAACCCAAGGGAGGGTGCTCGCCTGAGCCACTCAGGCATTTTAACAGATCCCAGCTCTTCAGAAGGGGCCCGTGAGGGATTGCCATGATACCCAAAAGGCAAGCATTCTTTCTGGGGTTTGGCTTGTTTTAGGGGATGAGAATTCAGGACCACTCTGGGACATGCTGCCCCTTGGCATGTTGTTCTGTAGGTCAATTGGGGGTGTAGTTGAGGCTCAATTGAGGCTCACCATCTTTGTTTTCTAATATTGGGAAAGATGAGAACTTCCTGTCTGTCTGCCATCTTCATAAGTGCCAACAACACCTTTGTCAGCAGCTTTTTGTTATTATGAACCACCCCTGACTGGCAGAACCCTTGTCCAGATGGTGAGAAGTGACTTGGAGACCAAGCAGCTTTGTCCAGGCCCTGACCTGCCTAGCTGAGAGATGGCGAAGAAGGTCTTTGCTCACGTGGCCAGTGGTGGTATCTATCAATGGGTATTATGTCACTAAAATTTACAGGAAATCTTAAAAGTAGTTCCCTTGCTTGTCTCTGGGAGATGGGGAAACTGAGGCATAGGAATGTCGGGTAAAAGGGCAAAGGAGGCG